GCGCTGCCATTTGGGTATGCATCGCCGCTAAAGCTCCAATCATATCTTGCATATGAAATAGGATAAGGGGGTCCTCCATAACCAGAATGTAGAATATCATATGGGCAACATATCCCGGATATGGCTGTCATGGAAGCTCCATACCCAAGATATGGAAATCCTTACCCTGGGATGATATGGCAAGGATATGACAATATCCTGGGATGTATATATCCAGTATAGCAACGTGCAGCACACGTACGCTTTTTCCCAACGATTTGCCATACATTTGTTCATGTCGTTGTGCATGTTTGGACTTCCATATGGGCATATCTGTGCCACAATACAACTACTATGGCTTTGCAAGATAGCCTGGCGAAATGCTTTCCTTTTGAGTTCCACATTCTTATACTCCATTGGGATACAGGTCCCGGATTCCGGGAAGTTGCTGGAACGGCGATTAGCAAATCGATGTGTCCGCCCCTTTGATTTCCATATGTTTAAAATGTTTGGGGGAAAGTGGATTCCGAGCAACATTTGCATTCTTTTAAGGCCGCCACAAGTAGAAAACGCGACTTTCCTGACGCCCACTGCGATGCCATTTGACACTAATTGATGCCATTGCAACCACTTTTATGCCATCGCAAACACTTTGACGGCCTCACTGAGTGTCAAAACGGCATCGCAATTGGTATCGCAAACATGCCATTTTCTGCTGGCGCCCCACCCGATTAGGAAACAAAGCGCTCTTGGATGTAGTCACGTCCGCCATCCCCAACAAGGTGCACGGGGTGCACTTTTGTCTTTCCCGAAGTTGCTTTCAACGCAGGATTACAGCTGCTCCCCTCCGGATCGACATTGACTACCCCCGCAAGTCCTAGACATGTATAGCCCGGTTCCCGAGGAAAGCCGATGGGCGACCTACAGCCGACCGCCCATCGCAGATCCGCCATTAACACTGTCGCCCTTGTTGGCGCCTTTGTCATTTGCAACTGCTTTGCATATCTCTAAAAAAGCACCTGCTGTTCACTAAAGTTCGTTTAAACTTTCCTGGAATAGACTTAGTGCTTTTGCACATGGCTGGGGGGAGTTCTAGGTCCCCCATTGCTTAATGAATGATAAGCCAGTTTGCATAGAACTAAATGGAGTGGAACATGGACTGAGCTAATGAGGGTGCTGGCGTGGAATGAGCCTGTGTTTTCCTATGCGCTATTCATTATTGCCGTTCCATTTTTGGCACCAGCCTCTAGTTGAAAATGTCACTGGTAAAAATTCGACCACTTTACACGATGTGCAATCGTGTGAAATCGGTTAAAATCCTGTAATAATCGGGTACTTAGGGCACAATTTTACACGATCGCTAAATCGTGTAGTTTTCAGCCCTGTGAATTACACGAAAGTGTGCACTTTAGAACCATGTACAAAACGATAAAGAACACGGTTTTACACGATTTCAACCGTGTACCAGCGGAAGCCGTGTATTTTGTTATCAGTACACTGTTGGCACACAATATCTACACGATTTCACACCATTTTTACACGCATAACATGGTACACGATTTCCAGGACCGTGTGCTTCGGCCGACTTTTTACCAGTGTGCGGTGGATGGGAAGTGTTCTGTACAAGCAGTTTACCTGTAATCGGTAGATAATGATTTGATGGAATGGCCAAGGTGAAAGTCCTATATGTCTGGGCTGTCGCACACAGTAAATCTAGGACAAGAAGGAGCTGGCCAATGCGCCGCCTTTATTCCAAAATTTTCAGGTTGCTCATTGGCCATAGGTATGGACTGTCAGATGCATGTCCGCCATGTTCGCTCCCAACCCACCCACCCACGCAGGCGTGTTGTTTGTGTTTACGGATCCGTTATTACGTCTACGTTTTCACGCGTAAGAACGCGGAAATACAGAAACAGCCATACTTGCATATATGTACGGCACGTCGACACGCCCAGATTACGTGCTGATGTCCCAATCAACGATGAATCCTCCACTCTCCAGCACTGGAAACACACAGCACACCTTATCCCTCAGCAGGGGCAAAGGCGTCGCCAGGCAAAAGATCGTTGTATCCATACCTCAGCGCGTCTATCTGCCTCTTCCCGGACATCCTGAGCCTTTATGTACTGTCTTTGGGTACACAGGACCCATTTATGCTCATTTTCACGAGCGTTTAGGTGTAAAAACGTAGAAACCATTTTCGTGCGCAAACAGCCGCAAATAGGAAGTATTGCGAAGTAAATGCCAAGCCTACGCCCACCCTCCACCCCAAAATCCAACCCCTGGTGCGCGGCTGTCACTGTTGGTCACCTTTGGGATTGGATGGGATAGGATTGAGTGATTCGGGGGTTGCAAACAGATTCAACAAATCCATCGTTTGAATTACCGACTGTAGCTACTTCGTATGGGACTCCATCTTCTGGTGAAAATATACAAAGTTCAAGGGTGAGAAAGTCCAGGATTTTGCATTTGATCACAGCACGAACTAGGGCTGGATATCGACGCACAACTCATGATACCTAATGGCCAGAGTATTGCGATGCGGCAAAAGATGAAGGTGTCAGGACACCAAGCGGAAGGCACAGCAACAGAGGGATTCGGCTGATCATCAAATTATCAGATACTTGCATCAGCGGAAAGAACTGCGCCGCTAAGCAAGGTTCTTCAGAAACTGGCGAGTAATATATCCAGATTATTGAAAATTGCAGCAGTTACTATGCGAAGCTGTGGGCATCGTTGCGGGCTCAAGACCTTACAGCACAACGCCATAATTTTTTTAATAGATACACAAAGTGTTTGTACGGGCGAGAAGGCGAATGAGTTCAGTATATGAATTTTTACCACTGCCCTTGCAACTTGCCGCCCTCAGGTTCCCAGGTTTCCATTGACTGATCACTGTTTATTATTCGACTTGCAGCAAAACAGACTGCCGCAATTAACAGAAGTCAGTACTTCATATCATCTATAATTTACATGTCTTTGTCGCCGTCAGATTCCAAGAAGATACGAAATTTCTCAGCTACAGTTGAATAGATGCATTGATGGTCGTTGAGCCAAGAAAGAATGGAAAGCCATGCCATTTATTCAAAAGTCTTGGACCCTTTAAATGTAAGGATGTCACAGGCAAAAGCTCAATGCTGCTATTGCAAGGCAAGAGCCACCCGGCATACCTGTTGCAGCCACCAAAACTCCATCGTTCGCTTATTAGCCACAATTCTCAACGCAACAGATACTCGTCCCCTACGCGGCAGATTTGTGTCTAATCCGTGCGGATTGTATTTTCTAATCTAGCTCCAGAAAACAAATTCGGTGCAGTCCCGGGCGGGAAAGGTGTCCACAATAGATAAATTTTATGCCTCTTTCCCGTTTTCCTGAACTTCACGATTCTCATTCTGATGCGGACTGCTGCCGATGGGAGCGCCAATGATCGCAGTCGCTATCACAAAACGCTATTCCACGAACCCTAAATCTGGTTAAATAGGAGTCCGAGTGAGCTGCGCAGATCCTGCATTTTCAACTATTGTTGAGGCTCCGCGGCCACTCATTTTGGAATTCCAATGAGCGATTTCCCGCAGAAATACTGATCCCCCCATTTGCTGCTCATCGATGACAGAATGCCAATCGGCAATTACAATGTAGAAAAATACACATCGTTGAGCAGCGCTGCTGTCTATGTACTTCCAGAACTCGTGCTGGTCCCTACCATGCATTGATGCATGGACGTCCCAAATCACACGCTGTACTGAAAATGTAGTCTGGCTCCAATCCCTTTACTGCCGGCAAAAGTTCCCTTCCTGAAATAGCGCATTCCCAAATCATGTGCCTTGTAGCCCTCATCAGACGCCACAAGCAGTGTCTCAGATCGAAGGGATGGAAAATTGTCTGCCGCCACAGCTGCCCTCCATCTGCGCATCCAACAATCATCTACTCAGATATATACTTGGATGATCGACGATGTAGTAAGGCGAAAATGGTGATTTTCTTTTCATGGACCCTCGCCAGCCCTGGACAAGACAGATGGGCTCCTTTCTGGACTCGATGGCATCCACAAAACGCAATGGCAAAAAAGTGCTGATGGAGAGAAGTTTCGGAAAATTACTGCAGATACGTTGCGCTCCTTGCTTCTGCAGTGTTCTCCCTTCCGACAGTGTTTTTTGGCGCAAAATTACTGAATTTTGTTGGAAATATGCCATTCATTTTTGGAGAATCGCCTCATGGGAACGAGCCTGATTTCAGCACCTGCCGTGAGATAGGTGGGTTCAGGGGAGCCAAGGATGCACAATGCTTCATCTCGATTCTCACATAGCAAATTGAATTAGCCAGGATCAGACTTCGAGGTGATTTTGCAGCTATGTATTGTCTTCGCGAAGCTGTACTGCCAGCCAACAGACATGACACATTTTGTGTCTGCCAATAGTTGTGGTGTGCAATCAGAATATTCTCCTTGGTTGATTGAGTCCTCTCCGCAATGTACCCTCTGACACAGGGTCTCAGTGTTATATGGAAAATTGCTAGAGTGCATATGCCAAGACAGGTAATGTAAATAAATCCACCAGCGGCACAACCCACGGAAATGCGTAACAGCCAAATGAACCATGACGCTGGCTTGCCGAATGCTCGTCATGCCGACAACGTTCCAGTACTTAAGCCATGTGTCCTGGACGGAATTTATACTGAAAGGTGTAGATGCGCTATCCAGCGCAATTTGTTGCCCTGGAGCGCTCAAGAGACTATGCAAATATGTGATATGCTCATATACCTCCCATTGCGCTCCAGTTCTGTCGTCGCATGCTGCGGTGCAGGGTACTTCGCCACAACTTCGATTTCTGCGCCTGCTCAAACAGCGGGACGCAGCACCCCAAGCGGAACAAAGTCGCACGAAACGCTGGCGAGATGCGACAAGGCATATTGCCGCGGGGGCGCGGTGCAGCAGCACGCCAAAGCAACGCTGCGACTGCATCACAGCCTGGATGAGCAGTGGGAAAACCACAAACTCTTGGCTCACCTGGGGCTGCAGACGTTCAGTTCAGCAGCTGATCCAGCTGCTGCTCGTAAGTACTCGCAGGGCTTTCCCCGTGCGAGGGGCCCCTCTGGTGCTGCCCAATTCCCGCGTAAGCCATCAAAACCTCATTCTCCTTCTTCAATACCTCGTTTCTCTCTTCCATTTCCTTCACCTGCGACTCCACAATGGACATTTGCGTATCAATCAATGGGAGCCGTCTGCACACGATTATCAGCCCTCAAGGAAAACTTTATTCCGACGCACAATCACATGCATATCTGACGCCACACTTGAAGTTAGGCTACAGCTCAAGTAACACTCGCGCATGGCCTCAGCCCAGATTCAACTCCAGTGCTCAGCAGCCTGCCTAAACGATGCGGCCCCTTTGCGACAGCGGCTCACTAACAGGGCCTGCAAGGCCGACATGCCAGACACGACCGGGGGACACACTAATGCGCAGATGCCCCACAGCCGCACCGCAGCACCGCAGCACCACTCTTTAATGTGTGGTAGTTACCGACGCCAGCAGTGCCGCATCTGCCCAGTGCTTCGTTGCACCCCCAAAGGCCACAGTCGTGCGACACCTCACTCGCGAGGGGAGACGCGTCCCCTCGTGGGTTTGTTTCCCTCCCACTTCCATTTTCGAATGCCCAGGCCGCGGGCGAAGTCTGACCAGGTGTGCTTAGGAGAACGCATGCAGACGCGGCGCCCTGCGCTGGGCCGCGTCGGGCCTGACGGCAGCGCCTCCAGTACTGCGCGCATCACAGCGCCCCAGGACTCCAGCCCAGAAGCCACTCAAGGCGATCCCCTTCCAGACGTGTGCATCCCACCCACCGCGTCGCGCATCCGCCTCGCCTCGCTCTCCAGGTCCGCGATCTTCTGCTTCTGCCTCTCCCGGAAGTTCTTGTTGGCTTGCCGGTTGCGCTCCCGCCTGCGCCGCTCCCTCTCCGCCTCGTCCTCCTGGCCGCCTTCGCCGCCAGCCTCCGCATCGCGCCCCTCCTCCGCCATCGCAACCTCCGGAGCGAAGCCCACCATCTGACCCGCGACGCAGCCGTCCCTGAGGAGGAGATCCCGCTCACGGGTCAGGCACGCGCATCGGCGGGTTTCGTGTGATCAGCGGCGGTGATGAGCGGCTCCCGGTGGCCAATCAGCGCAACGCGGCACTCGGCAGGGAACCCCCGGCGAACTGGGCGCAAGCGCGACTGCCCTGGCGTTGGGCGCTGTTTTCTGCGTGTGCCTTGGGGCGCACCGGCGGCAGGGGAGAAACTAACAAATCCGGCGGATGGCGCACTTCCAACGGCGCCACTCCCACTTTCTTCGCAAGGCCACGTGGACAACAGAACAGCCCTGTTCAGCAGCTGGCTGTGCTGGGCCAAGACAAGCGCCCCGGGCGTGGCCACGCCCAGCCGGGCTGGTCAGGACTGCCCGCGCCGGCCACGGCGGCGTCCCCAGGCCACTGCTCCTGGAACTTACGTCCATCCCTCCGGTAGGATGCCCACGTTCTGCTGGGCTGTCGCGGGAGCCTGGAGGGGCCCCCCTTCGGTGCCGCCGGTCTGCAGGCGCCACATTTCGTAGGCGGTGGCGTCGGCGTTGGGGGTGACAAGCAGGACCTGCTGCGGCAGGGCGTCCAGGAAGTCGCCCTCGCTGAGGTTGGCTGCATCGCACGACATCCTGATGAATCGGAGACTGACCTCTTTGAGCCCCGCTCGGTGTGTGGCTCACAGACGCAATCGGAGGCGATTTCGTTCACCGGTACTTCCTGCTCAAAGTGCCCGCATTTTATGCCTTTCCCGGAGTGATGCCCCCTCCCACTCAATACTAGATCACACAGTTAATCTTGAGTATGGCCCCTGCCGAGTGCAAGGGCTGCTGCGCCGCAAAGCAGCGTGCTATGACTTCAGCACCATCCAAGAGGAAGCTGCAGTTTACAGAGTTCGTAGTTGGGAGTACTAACATTGTCACGCGGTTTCCGCAGTGTCATTCCTTCTGACCACACGGCCAACAGCTGCCAACCACGCGTCCCGCAGGTGCCAAGCAAGTGGCCAAGCCGGTGTCTTACCGCCTGAATAGACAATCTGCTTGTTCTGCATTGCGCCACATGCCTTGCAGGTGATTGGCAGTGCAGCAGGAGCTCACATTGCGGTCAACGCACACACACATGTGTAAACAAAAGGCAGTGAAACGGCACCAATTGCCTGACACTGTCATTCTCACAGAGGCGCTAATTTACGGCAAGGACCTGATTATGCTGCACCAGCGCACATGCCTGGGGAAACAGAGCCGCGCCTCGGTGTCAGGCTTTCGATTGGCGAAGGACCGAAGTCACTGCAACGTTCCAACTGCGCTGCCAATGGCGTCACCCGAGGAAGATCACGCGGCCAGGCTGCCAGTGCCAGTGCTTCAATTGACAAACAAGGACAAATGAGGCTGAGACAGGACCTCTATTGCGCTCCACTAGCGCATCCAAGTCTTCGAACAGGCCTCTTCACATGGAGGCCGCCGTCTGAGCACTTTAAATGTGAGTCGTCGACTCGACAAAATGGATGTGCATCGTCAATGCATCGGCTGGACTGCGCTGCGCAGGTGCGCAGCACTGACACTAGGAAAAAAAGGGCCAAATAGCACTTTTGCGAAAACACATAAAACATATTTTATAATAGTCTTACACGCCAAGAACACAAAAATAACACAAACCCGTAAACTTCGTACACGTTTGAACACGTGTTATTTGGCCCTTTTTTTCCTAGTGATTTGCGTGGCGCAGCAAATCATCCTAAAAGAAGATCGCATTGCGCTTCGATGCGGCAATTCGCTATGAGCTGATTAGATCTTGATGGTAATTATAGATAGCAATATGTATTGGCCAGTATTGAACAGTTTGTGCGTGGAGAGTCTCGCGAAAGATGCAACCGTGTGCCTGTTAAGAGCGCCATTGCAGCACACTTCCGTACTTTGACAGAGTCCGCTTGGCAGTCAACGCTTCGTCGCTGTCCTGTGCTGGAAGTGAATCGGCATCTAGCCACGCCAATCGCTTTGGAATTGTGCCTATTTCAGTGCAGATATTTACCAGTTGTGGTAATGCTCGGATATTGAATCTCCTTGGCGACAATCTCTATCTGATTGTGCTGCTTCACGATCTTACCACCTTTGTGCCCTCTCACCCAAGGACCGGTTACCACTTTCATAACATTGTCCTATTTACTTTAGATCGCTGCTGCATTTACACGAAAATGATAAGAGACTTGTGCTCACCGATGTGTGGTGTAAACTCGCGGAGCTAGTGCAGCAGGGGTTGAGAGGAACTTGGTTGGATATTTGCACCATCTGAAAACGCTTTGGGACCGGCAAGCGAGTAACATGCTGTTCTTTTCATTTGGTCAAGATCTTCGTGCCCATTTGAATGCGGTATCTAGCACTTTAAATGGACTTTGCCGTGTTCTTCCCTTTCGACCTCCCTCCTTTTGACTTTGCCGCATGATCTGTATTTTCGCCATTCCATCGTGGGTGGTTGTCCCCATTGTGTTCATTTCATGACCGGTCTGGTTTCTTCCCGGAGGTTGCTGTTGGGCTTCTTAGTGGCTTGAACTAATAATTTTCATTCTTTATCTGTGGCTCTGGTGTGCGTATCTGTATACCAGCTTTCGGAGAATTCTTGGATGTAAATTTGCGCCCGTAATGAAGCGCAAACGCAATGAAGCGCATACTTGAAAATATACATACATTTCATCGGGATCGCGAGAAATTTCATAAATGCCGTACCCAAGAGGTAACGCCATATCTTTCCTCTACGATGTGGCTCCACGGTCAGACGGCCCAACAGGTCTTGAGTCAGAAATTTTGCAACAGCTTGGCGAATTCACTGCACAGCTTGCGGTGAAGGCGCAAGAACAGCCGCTACTGCTATTCGACTCCTTCTTAAAAGCACGTAGCCCATCTATTGATAGTCCACAAATTATTGGCGGTCGTCCATATCAGAACTCACTGATACCAGAATTGACTCGACAACAAACATACCAGTACAATTGGCTGCCGCCGCTGCAAGGCCTTCATCGGCATCGCGCGTTTATTGCTGATATCACCTCACGCGGCGCCTCCCTAATTCTATCCAGAAATCTTGATCTAAAGGACTATTGCCACGGGTCCCCCGATGCCATGCTTTCCCTGTGCTTCGGGTAGATATTCCAACTGCAGTCCGTTATGGGTAGACCTGCAATTGCATGCTTCCTCACACAGAAAAAAGTCGCATTTGCGTACAAGCAACACTCCTGACTCTGCTGTTTGAAGACCTATTTCAGGCAGGCCATCAGCCGATGCACTATTTTGTCAACAATGCAATGGCAATCAATCCCAATGCTGCGATCCACCACGAGCTGAATGCAAGGGTAATGGAAATCGCCACCTCAGCTCGCCGAGCCGCAGCAGAAATTTGACATCATATTGACCCGCCCTGGCCCATTGCCTTGCAGGAAATTATTGATCAGAAATCCCTTCATTGGGCTTCTTGAAGCCTGCGCAGACCTTCAAGACCTCGTTCTCCTTCCGCAGCAATTCGTTTTCGTCTTTAATACCTTCCACCTGCGATTTCGCACTGCCATCCATTGGTCGTCTATTTTCAAGAAATGTAGCCCCAGCTTTCAAGGCGCATGTTCCAAAGCTCCGTGGTGCTTCTGCATTGTGCTCAAATACTCTTGTGTGTACAATAGGTGTAACATCATGGTGTTGGTCAGCTCGAGTCTTTGAATTCTCATCATCGAGTCCGAGGCTGCGGAAATAGTGTCAGCGCACGGACCAAAGGCCACACAGAAAAGAAATGAACGTAATTTCAGTCAGAACGAATTTTCGTCTAATGGTGTATTCTCAAATTAAATTTGTTCAAAAAACTCAAAAGCTGGAATCAAATTGTACTATCATATCAATTGCAATGATTCTAACAACAACAATGACGATGACACCATGGGACTAATATGGCAATACGAAGCATCGTCGTGGTGGCGTCAACAGAAGAAGCGAAATCAAGCATCAACTTCATTGCTTGCAAAACTGCAAAACCCACATGTATCTGTCCATAACGAGCAGGGCGTCTAATTCCTTTTGTGCTCTTTACAGATATCTGCATGTGGTAAATCTCCTTCTCTCTCGCGCACCGACACAACCTTCCAAATCATAACAATATCTACTGGCAGAGCTACAGGCAACCTCCAGATCCGGAGGGAAGGAGGGAAATCTCCGGGAATCACGCCAACAATATGGACACTAAGCGGAGGAGGGGCAGCAACAAAGAATTCGAGAGAAGCAGCAAATCGCTTGCGTTTCAGGCATCCTCGGTGTTTGTGGCACAGTGCAGATGTAACAGGAATTTTCGGCCATGTGTGCACTTCCACGATCCGCTTGGTTTTCAACCATCGATTTATGTGCCACCCATTGTAGCGGAGGAGCGAATGGCAGATATGTCTGCAGTACAGAAGGAGGCGTCCGCTGCATGTTAACAACTAGCAGCAAGTTCCCGCAGTGCTCTATTGCGACAGTTGACTTTGATCAAGTGCAACCGTAATGTTACAGGGTTAGGTTGCTTGGAGGTATTCTTGTATAGGTGCAGGGGCAACAGAGCTCAGGGCCACCGTCGTTTGATCCATTAGGGACTGGCCATGACAGAATAACATGTGCTTGAGTGAACAAGCAGAAGAGTTGTTGCAACAATGTGAATTAGCCGTCATCGCGATTTGGTACATCGTCAACGCAGACGACCGTCCTCCCTGGGTAGTACCTTGTTTGGTGAGGGGCAAGTAGCTAACAGGACAAACGGATGCGCACGCTGCCACAACCTTGCGTGCTCAAGAAGGCCCAGTGCGCTAGCCCTGTGTTGCTGCCAACATGGCATGACCGACAACGCTCGATGGCCCACAGCCGCGTGGCCACGACAAAGCTGACAGCAGCCTTGTTGCCGTTTGCGTTGCTGCTGTGCGAGATCACGTTCTCCTTGCCTGAAAAAGTGTGTCCGCACCCATGCCTTCGAAAAGTGTGCTTGTGCACAAGTATGTCCGCACGTGCCCCCATTGCGCTACAAATAACGGCATTTGGTTTCGCGTCAGGCAAAACTCCGAAAAGCAACAGCGACGTGTGCGTCTGTCTCACAGTCAGACCCGCGGCGACCCTGGCCGACTTCCTGGCAGGCCGCCATTCGGTGTTTCAAGTGCCGGGCAGAGTGCTGTGCGCCAGCTGCAGGAACCTGCCCTGAAGGCATCAAACTTCCGAATCACGCATGCCTTCCCGACGCATGCAAGTACACCGCAGTATGTGCGCACCCCCACACACATGGGCACCCGCGACGCGGGGGTCAAAGCGACCGCACAAATATCACGCCCGCCTCACAGCCAGCCAAACCCACCGACTCGCGCCAGAGCCTGGCCTCGTTCTCCAGGTCCACAATCTTCTGCTTCCGCCGCTCCCGGAAGTTCTTGTTGGCCTGCCGGTTGCGCTCCCGCCTGCGCTCCTCCTTCTCCGCCTCGTCCTCCTGGCCGCCGTCCGCCGTGCCCAGCGCGGCGTGCCGCGCGTCCGTCATCTCAACGTCCGCACCGATGGACGCCGCGTTGCTCGATTGGCCATCGATGCGGCTTTCCCTGCGGAGAGAATTTCACACACCGCATAAACATTCGAACAGCGTATGATCTCG